CCAGGAAAAAAAAAGAAAGTGGAGATAGGGAGAGAGAGAGAGAGAGTAGCAGGCATTCAACAAGCCTCATACACTGACAGAAAATGTGTAAAGAAAATTATAAAAAATTAAAGTACGAATAGACAATTGAAATAAGAAATTTATAAGCAAATCTAAACAGACCTGGGAAACATTCATTTAATAAAGGACACTTGTTTTTAGGTAAATTGACATTATAAAATGATTTTTCTCAGTTAAATTTGATTGTGTAATAGCTTAATTAAAAATTATTTGTCTCAGTTAAATTGGTTTGTGTAATAACTTAATTAAATTGAAGCAATTTTATACCCTTGCAGGGTATTATTATTGCAGTCAGAAGCTTAAAACTAAATCAAGGTGTCATTTCCGACCCTATAAATCATATATATTCTTGATCAGAATGAACAGCAGAATCGATCTAGACATGCCCGGAAGGAAAAAAAAAATTTCGAAATTTTTTCATAACTTTTAACTGTAAAAAATGTTGACCAAAAATTTATTTTTTTTTTAATTTTAAAACTTAATATGCAGATTTGTTAACAATTTTAAAACTAGCACAGAACAGCAATCCGAATTGAAATTAATTCATTTTTGCCTTAGTTAGCAATTTGAAAAACTCTGATTTATCTATAAAATATAGCTAAAATCGATTAAAAATGGTATTACATCTTCAGTCAGAAACCTAAAAAAAAAAAATTAAGCAGTCATTTTCGACCCTATAAACTATATATTCTTGATCAGGCGAATCAGGCGAATCTTTCTAGATATCTCCGGAAAAAAGGAAAGGGGTTCAACGTTAAAACTTTAAAAATTGATAACATTTTGAATGTTTTAACATTTTTAATAAAGTATGCAAATTTGTTAATCTAAAAGAAAACATAATAGAAAAGCTTTCCAAATTTAAATTAGGGAATTTTTGGCTTAGTTTTGATATTTAAAAAAACGTTGATTAACCCAAAAAATTAGTATATAAAAATATCAATTTAATATTCCTAATCTACTAATTACTATAAATTTAAATAACCCTTTAATAATTTTTATAACTGAATTTACAAGTTATAACTCTTTAAAATAATTTTTATTTAATATTTAAAATTATTCAAAATTGCTTTAAATTGAATTTCTTAAATATTTATATAAATTCCCAAGCATGTGTATAAATTTTTTTGCAGTGTAAGCTTGCCCCACTACTGCTGCCATATGTGCACGAATGTGTGTGTGTGTTGTGTGTGTGTGGGCGCGTGCCTTTTGGCGTCCATGTGGTGACACACACTCACACACACACACACTTACACACACATATGCAAGCTGTTCGCATATGCATAGAAAGAAATGTTTACCTTATATTATCCCCACTTTCCGCAAATTCCAGGTGTGTGCGAGTGTGTGCGAGTGTGTGTGCTTGGTGTCCTCACAAAACTTTGTCATTTAGTTAGGTGTAAGTTAGTTTTTTGGCTTAGTACCGGGCCAACACTTTAAGCAAAGAGAAAAAGAGTGAACGTGGCCAAAAGGAGGTGGTTGCAAAACTAAAAAAAAATAAAAACCGGGATAAAAAGGCGGCCAAAAAAGGGGGTGGTAGAGACAGAGGGAGAGGGAAGGGGGGAGGTGCACCGCATAGAGTTACCTTAATTTAGTGCAGTTTGCAAAATATGCGTACGAGTAGAAAGAAGCACACACACACACACACACAGATCTCTGGCACACAGTTGCAGAGCGAAAAGTTGCACTTTCCATTAAATCAAACACTTGGCGAAACATATGATCGGAAAAGTTACCGAATGAGTCATGGCAATGGGTCCTGGGAAATGAGTAACACCATCAAAATGTCTGATAAACTTTAAACTTTTTTAACTTTAAGCACTTGCTATTACAGCTGCAGGTTACCCTCATCATTCAAAATTAAAAAAAAAAGAAATTAAAGAACAAGAAATTCATATAAATCAAATGAAGGATAAAGAAGTCCTTGTGACTTCTTCAGACATGCTGCTTTGAATATTATCGATAGGTTAACGATAGCTTGGCTTGTGAAGCCACATCTCTAATTGCATATCGATTAACCAATTAATCGTTTAATTTTTAAATCTCTCTAAATATCATTATTTCAAAATATAACTAGAAAAGCATGAAATTCCTTTAAATCAAATGAAGTCTAAGGAGGTGCTTTAACTTGATTCGTTATGTTTGCCATTAAGTTGAATTTATATTTCTTAATTAACTTTAAGCACTTGCTATTACAGCTGCAGGTTACCCTCATCATTCAAAATAAAAAAAAAAATTAAAGAACAAGAAATTCATATAAATCAAATGAAGGATAAAGAAGTCCTTGTGACTTCATCAGACATGCTGCTTTGAATATTATCGATAGGTTAACGATAGCTTGGCTTGTGAAGCCACATCTCTAATTGCATATCGATTAACCAATTAATCGTTTAATTTTTATATCTCTCTAAATATCATTATTTCAAAAAGAAATTAAATAACATGAAATTCCTATAAATCATAGAAGTCTTAAGAGGTCCTTTGGCATGATTCGTTTGATTTGCCATTAAGTTGAATATATTCTTCATTTTTTTTTTGAAGTCTCCTAGATTAATTATCAATAAATTAGCTAATGTTTTATTGTGTGAAGGCTTAAATCTAATGGCTGATTAATCAACCAATTAATCGTTTAGATCTAAATACTCCCCCTCAAAGCTATTTATATTCTATATAAATAAATATACATATAAAACACTCCATTCTCTGGACAAAAATGGGGTTGGCATAAATACGGGGCAACAAATTTTCAATTACTTGTTTGGGATAATATTTTTGGGGAAATGCAATTTGTCTGACTAACTTTATTCATTCATTTTGGGGCTAGAAGTTGCTGCTGGCACACACTTACACACACACACACACGCTGGGCAAACAGCAGCAATGAATGCACTTTCATGTCCTGTTTCCTTCCCAATCTGTGTGTGTGTGTGTGTGTGTGTGAAAGCCCATGTTTGCTTGTGTTTGTAGTTTTGTTCCGAAAAACAAAAAACTTTTGCAAAACGAACGCATGAGACGGACAGTTTGGCTCCCTCTCTTTCTGTATCTGTCTTGCCATCTCGTTTACTCTGATGCAATTTCTGAGGGGCCAGTGTTGAGCAGCAGCCAATTCGCAGTGTTTTTTTTTTTATATTAAAATTAAGAATCTGCAAAATATTTAGTTCATTAAGTAATATTATTGGATTTATTTATATAAAACTTACTTATCATACTGATTTCTAGTGTTGGAAAGGTGTAAGTGATGCGGAAAACATTTTAATTTATTTTAAATTTTATACAAAATCGTAAAAATAGAATTTCTGATGCACTTTTCAATTGCTTTTCAGCTTTAATAATTTAGATAAAAGTACTGCTAAGTTCAATATATTTTGAAAATTACTGAAGCTGCTTAATTGACAGTTTTCTTCGAATATTTTTCTTCAAAAATGTATATTTTATTTACATATAATATACAAAATTTAATAAATAAATTATATGTAAAATAAGCTACTCAACACTGGCCTCACGACAGGATCACAGCGACGACAACAATGGCAACGGATGTTGTTTGTCGCACTTTAAGCCATTCTCCCCTCCGCCTGGGTTTTGTTGCGGGCTGTGTGACCCTTAACCCCTTAGCGCCTACACCACGCGCACACTCACTCCCACACCCACACCCACTCACACACACCCACACATACAGTTGTAGAAACACACATCGAGCGTGTTCCTTTGACGCCATGCACGTTTTTTACCCCGTTGAAATTGTAAAAGTTTTGTGATTTTTCCCACCCGCCCTTTGGGCGCGCATTGTCAGCGTTGTTTGGATGCTTGATTACACTTGAAGAAATATTTAGAAAATATAAAAAATGTTATATTTTAATGGAAAACTAGTTTTCCATCTTACAGAATAATATTTTTAAATTTAATTTAATGAAATGCGAGCCCGAGAAGTAAGGTATTTTATTGAGACTTCTTTTGATTTTTGATATTATAAATTTTGGGTGTAATTTTTAAGTCATTACCAAAAACCAAGGATAAATTTTAGAGAACTAATTGAAACACTTTAAAAGATTACTTTTAGATATTTTAAAAGTGGCTTTGTCTACTTAACTTCTAGAATTACAACTCTTTTATTTATTAGAAATATTTTCTTCAAGTACAGTGATGCTGCTTTGATGGTGACCTGTTTTTCATTTTTTTTTTTTTTTTTTTTTTTGTTTTTTGTTCATTGTTATTACCGGTGTCGTGTCTAATTTCTGTTTTAAATACATAGTTGATATTTGCCGGGCAAAAAGTTGAAAATTGCGCATTTGCTTTTGCTTCGAGGGCCGCCTGAATAATGCATAAATGCAATTTGCAAGTTGAATGGCTCTGTGCGGTCGCTTTATTTTCGGTGGACTCGGTCACACTTTTTTGGGGGATTGTGGATGGGGGGTGCGGGGGTGCGGGGGCTTATGCGCTGGTAACAGATGCGACACCCAGATGGCGCCAGCTGGACTCGTCGATTCGCTGTGATTTATGTCCGGCAGTTATCGATTGTCAGTTAGCATTTATGAGGCCACCTGAACGGCACTTTGGGGGATTGCCGTGGGATTTCCCCATTTTCCCAATTTCCCATTTCACATTTCCCATTTCCCATTTCCCATTTAGCGGGCTTAGGAGACGGACGTTACATCCTGTTGCGAAAAACTTTCCGCTGGCCATAATATTTTTGGGGGCAAACAACTTTTGGCCGTCGAGCGGTGGACAAACATTTTAATTGAAATGGTCCGGGTAAATAAATTAGTCAGGGATTACCTCTAAAGTTAGTCAATGGGTTTTACCAATGTTATATTTATGTGCTGGATAACCTAAAGGATATTTTGGTGCTTTTTATCCATAAGATTACGAGTTTATTTTAGAGTAAACTTTCCAATATTGAGTTTTTTTTTTTAAATTGTCATTTTATTCATACAAAAAAATTCATTTGTTTTGTCTTTGCTTAAAAACTAAGAACAATTTGACACAATTTCGCTTAAGAACTATTTGGGGAAAAGTTCTGGAGTATTTCGAAATAGGAATAAAGAAAATATATTTCACTGGCACTTTTACTGATGGAAAAAAATCAACAAAAAAATAATTGGAGACAAAGTCAAAACAGAAAAAAAAGTGTATATTATTTAGAAGACAGATTTAAGGAAAAGGTTTAACTAGATTCTTCGGGTTCATCTTCTTCACGACCAACATTGAAAATGTAGTTATCCTTTCCGGGTATTCCTGTACCGCCGGCATCACCCAGCCAGGGATAGACATTGGGGCATTCCCGGCATGTCTCCATGTAACGCGTATCCGTCAGATTCTGTTCGGGTATCTTGAAGGACAAAGCACAAGTTTGCCAAATGTTGCAAGGTTTCGGTGCCACAGCCACACTCTTGTCGCATTTCCACGCCTCAATTTGGTTAATGTCACGCAGTTCCTTGGGATCGGTCATATACTGCAGCATCTGGGTGACGGTCAGGATATAGACGTCGGGTCTGAGGGTGAAAATTTAAATATAAAATGATTTAAATACAAAAAATAAATATGGCTTTGATTTATTAAATATATATTTCAGATAAACAAGAAGGGAAGCTTATTTTGGGAGGCCATAATTCAAGTAAGGATCATAGGATAGATTATTATTTTTTTTTTTTATTTACAAACTTCATTTGGTTTAAAATTTATTAATTACATATAAGCTATTCGATATGTAATTAATAAATTTTAAACCAAATTAAGTTTGTAAATAAAAAATAAATAATAATAATTTATAATCTAATAATCTATTATTGTCTTAATTTTTTATTTGGGTTTTTAACCAGCATTTTTCGTTTGAAATTTAAAAATAACTATACATCCTGTATTAATATATATATAATAAAATATGTATAAATATTTATACCCCTGAAAAGGTATTATAGTTTTAGTTAGAACCTTGAAACCAAGTGAAGGAGTCACTTCTGACCCTATAAATCATATATATTCTTGATCAGCATTAACAGCCGGGTTGATCTAGCTTTGTTTTACGGGAAAAAAAATTTTGATACATTTTTTAATATTTTACATCGTTAAAATTCTCAAGAAATGCAAATAATTTCAAATTTTTTTAATTTGTTATAAAGTATGCAGACTTATAAACCTAATAAAAACTAAACTTTCCGATTTCAATTTTGGCTTAGTTATGAGCTTTTTTTAAATTTTGATTTGTCCAAAAAATATTCATATAATAATACTGTTAATATCGATTAAAAAATGGTATTTCACCTTCAGTCAAAAGCTTAAAACTAAGTGAAGGAGTCATTTCCGACCCAATAAATTATTAACCTGCTAAAAACTAACATTGGAACGCTTTCCGAATTAAAATTAAGGAGTTTTTGGCCAAGTTATGTTTTTTTTTTTAATTTTTAATTTGTCAAAAAAACTGGCATATAAATAAATATAAACGTAATTATTTAAATATAATCGTTATGGGAAGTCAAATTAATCAAGATATATTTAATTCCTCTGTCCCATAGCGTATTTCGTGCCAAAGAAACAAAAACAAAATGCAAAGAGCAGAGCAGAGTCCAGCTCCCTCCCTCCCACATTCCAGTGAGCGGCAAGTGCAAAAGGAGAGCATGGAAAAGGAGAGCGGCACTTGGTGAGCGACACTTGGAGAGCGGCGGAAGGGAAGCGCAAAGCGGAAAGCGCCCAGAGCGAGCATCATTTGCTTCGCCGCCTTTTCGACTTCGCACGCATCGCGATCACAGCTCCCAGTTTCACAGTGAAAAACTATGGAAAATGCCCAACAAGTGAAGGAAAACCTTAGGAAAAACAATAAATAATCCTTATTTAACGTGTTAATCGTGTTCGCAAAGAAAAACTCATCCAAACTAAGCTAGAAACGATGGCGGAAGAAAATCGAAAGCAGAATGCGAAAAATCTAACCTCCAAGTGTTCGTCAAGTGCAAAACATCAAAGAAACTAACAAAGTGAGAAGTGAAATGTGCGAATAGATGAACTGCAGCTGCTATTAACAACAACCAACAACAAATCGTGTACAGTTAACGCCGGTTATTAATATAATTCTGCAAAAGCGAACGAAGAAAAGTTATTTGTCGCCGCCGCCAAAAGGTAAGCGACAAATTTATGTATGTATGTATGTATGCATGAGTGAGTGCGTGTATTTTTGCGGGAAGAGAAGTGAGAGCGGGAGAACGGTAACGAAAGCGTTAGAAGTGCGAGTGCGCTTTGAGTGGGAAGGATGGAAAGATCTCCTCTCCCACTCAATTGGGAAACGGGAGTTGGGACTTTAACCCTTCTTGAGTATTTTAATTTTAGTCGGAAGCTTGCATTTAAGTGAAAGAGTCATTTGCGACCCCATAAACTATATATATTATTGATCAGCATTAAAAGGGGAATCTATCTAACTATCTCCGACAAAATAAAAAAATTTTAAATTTTTTTTATAAATATTACATCTTTTATTAAAAAAAAAATCGAAAAAATTAAAATTTTTTAATGAAGTATGCAGAATTTTTAACCTAATAAAAACTAACATAAAACAGCTTTCCGAATTGAAAATTAATGATTTTTTGGCCAAGTTATAAGTTTTTAAAGTTTCTAATTTATCAAAAAAAAAAAAATTGTCATTTAAAAATATCATTAAAATTCGATTTAAGGAATACAAATATTTTGAGTAATGATCGATTGCATTTATTTATTTTTATTGATATATATTTTTATTTTCTTTTGACAAGTGATAAGTGATCGAAATATGTGCTTTAGTGAAACCAACAGAAACAACAGGAAAAAGAGGAACAAAATATTCGAAGATTTAAATAAATTACAAGATGTGTTTAATCCGGTAAGTCTTTTGTCAATGCTATTTATGATATATATATATTTCAAATGACTTATTCTTCAAAAATCTTATGAAAAATCTATAATAATATTTATTAAACAATTTATAAATAGATATTATACACAAGAAAGCCATTTAAAATTTGTCCAAAAGTAGAAGTATAAATTAATTTAATATTTTTTGTGCCTGACATCGTTGATTTAAAAATTCCTTACGGGCTTTATGAGGTATTATTTTTATTGTTATAGAAAACACACTCAGATTTTGCATCGCCTGATTATTTGCCCCAAGGTAAGTTGTAAGATGTAAAGAATTATAGCATACTTTTGGACATTCACTTTTTAAAAGATATAACACGGCAAAGAATGTTGTTTATTTAAAACAAAATAGTATTTAATAAACTCAAGAATTAAAATGTGAAGAAAAATCCTTGAAAATATCCCACACATGTCCTCATTAGAAGGACTTTTGAGGGGGTGGACTTTTTGAGGGCGGAAACCGGATGACAGTGCACCTGTAGGCCAAAACAAAAGAGTAATGATGATGGAGGGGCGCCAAAAGAAAAACTTTACGGCATTCTTTACGCATTTTCAGGCGTCTCATGCAAACACTAAACGCCGCATTTTCCCCAGGGCATTTTCCATTTCCCGCTGATGCTTCAGTTTGAGCCTCTGGTCCGAACGGCAACGCAATGTTGAAAGTCATTCACACTAATTAAAAACTTCGTACAATTGTGCGAGAAATAGTTTTGCAGCAGCAGCAGCTGCTCTTTCAGTTTTTCCCCCTTTGGCCAGATCTTTATAGTTTTTAACTTGCTTTCTCTTCTCTCTCTTTCTCTAATGCACGAAGGTGTGAGCCAGGTGAGATATGTATGAATGCAATTTTCGAGTAAAATTAAGTTGAAATTTTCTAGACTTTTGCCAAAAATGGCAACAATAAAAAGTTCACTTTTGTTGCTAAAAAAAAAAAAAAAGAGGAAACGAAAAACATGCACTTTTAAGCAACAGCTATCATTAAATGTGGTTCTTAATTCTGTATTTTATTTAAGTTGAAAATTCTTGGTTTCATTAAAATTAAATCCTTTACTAAGAAAAGATAATTGTGGGTAAAGTTTGAAGGGTTTGCTAAAGCTTTCAAAAGGCAGATATAGGTTTTACAATTTATTTTAAGAGACAGATTCTGTATTTATAAAATATAGAGCATATTTGTGAAAGTCTAATTAATTTATTTAAATTTTTATAAATCTATTTCTTTGTTACCTATCTTTTATAAATCATATTCCTTGGACTTATATACATTTCGGTATTAAATAATTCTTCTCAAGCTGAAAATATTCGAAAATTTAAATTTTTAGCTAATTAAATTAGGCAAAGTCTAGTAATTTTCTGTTGCCAACTTAAGCAACCTATTTTTTCCTCCCCATTTTGACTTGTTTTGCTGGCCAGAAGTCGTTTAAGCCAAAGATAAGCCAACGTTCAGAGAGTGATGTCGATGACAAAGTGCGATTCTATCAACATAACTTCATTTAGTAACTTTTCTTTGCTCTCTCTTCTTCATTGCCTTGTCTTTGTTTTCTTTATTTTTGTTTGTTTTTGTTTTTCCCGTTTTTCCTTTTGTTGTAGTGCGTTTTAACATGGCTTTTTTTTGAGTTAGCCACGACCTCTAATACCGCTGTATCCTGTTTTGGCTTTGCTCTTCCCTTTTTTTTCCCCCTTTTTCTCTTTTTTTTTATTTTGCGCTCTGCCTGGGCCTGCACTGATATTTTTGCGAAAATGAAACTTTTACAAAATTAAACTTTTCTCATTAAAACGTGCGATTTTTTTTATTCGCTCCTTATCCTTATACCGAGCTCACACAGCTCCTGGTGATTTTTTTGAAACGCTGACCGCAGCGTCGCCATTGTGGAGGGACAGGGAAAGGGAAAAGGGTAGAGAAAGGTAGAGAGTTGGACAGAGATAGAGAGAGAGAGAGAGAGAGAAAGAGAGAGAGAGGGAGAGAGTATGAGAGAATGAGAAAGGGAGAACGGCGAGATTCCACCGAGAGTTGTGCATATGGTTGAGTGACTGCCAGCAGAATTGGCCATATGCACTGTTTAAAACAATGTATATTTAATAAAAAAAATTTAAAATTAAAAATTAAATATTAAAAAAGTTAACATTTTAAAATAAGGCAATTCTACATGTAATATAAACTATTTACAACAATTTAACCTGTGACTTAAAAGTATTTAAAGAACTGAACTGAAAAGTATGCTACAAAATGCGACAACTACATTTTTTTTTACAAAAGAGTATTGTGTTTAAATATATGATATTATATTAAAAATATTGAATATATTTAACCCCATGTTTATACAAAGAACAAAAGATTTACTTTAATTATTTTGTACAAAAATATATCATTAAATACTTTTAAATCCCTAGTTATTATTTCAAGTATCAATTAACCTTTTAGTAAACATTTTTAAGAAGAACTTGATCAACAATTTTTATTTTTGTGTGTTTTTAAAGAAATGCATTGAGTTTTCCTCAGTGTATTAGCCGGTATCAGTGTAGGGACTTTGAAGGGTTTTCTCTCTTTCTTTCTTTTCTGTATTTTTTTTTTAATGTTATTTTTAGTGAACTGCTCAACCTGTCGACATGGCACAACATGTGCCGCCATCACCACCACCGAGGACGCTCTTCTACAAGCAATTTTTATAGCAATTGCCAATTTGCTGGCGCTGCTGTTGCTCCTTCCTGCTTTCTCTCTCCTGCATCCTTTCACCTTGCTTTCTCCACTTTCTTTCCCCTCCTATCAGCTCTACTACTCCCTCTCTCTCTCTGTTCGTATCTCTGTCTCGCTTGGCTTTTTTTAATTGAATATAAAACTTGCCAGCGGCAATCGGAAGTGCACTGCAGGAAACGCCAGCTGCCCCCCATGTGTGTGTGTGTGTGTGTGTGTGTGTGCAAGTGAGATAGCTAAATAGAAAGAGATAGAAAGAGAGAGGGGGAGAGAAGTAGAACCAGAGAGACCGTTCCAAAGTTGGCTTTCAATTATGAAAAAAACATCAACAAAATAAAAACAAAAAAAAAATATATATATATATACATAAAATGTGCTGAATAAAAAATACAAAATTTTATGAAAAATTGTGAACGAAGCAGAAGCCTGTCTAAACCAATAAAAAAAGTCTGAAAAAAAGTAAAAACTAGAAAGGAAAATGGTTAAAAATATATACATACGACGTTTAACTGATTTAGGCTTGAAAATCTATTTTGAGGTGAAGGAAATCTCTTGAAAATAATATTGAAGTTAAGCTATAAAACATTGAAGAATTAAAAATTAAGCCTGAAACATTATTAGGGAATATTTTAGACACCTTTAGAAAGGGTTTTGAAAGCATACATCGTTTGTTTTTTAACTATTTAATGATATTTGGTATTATATTCTCCAAAAAGGATTAAAAAATATTTAATATTATATTAAAATTATACAAAAATCTCTTGCAAATACGATTTAAAGTAGAAAATTAGACACCTTGGCAAAATGGTTCTTAAAACCAAAGCTACATCTTTAATTACTCCCTCTATAGGCCCACTTAATATTATGTTAAAATATATATTATTAAATTTAAAAAAATATAAGAAACTACTTACAATTCGAGGGCCCAATCCAGGAATTTATGCAGACCATTCTCCAGGGGTTTGGTCTGGAACCAATTGGTGTGGAATGGCATCATATAGGGTGCCTTATTCTGTTCATAGTAACGGGAGAAGTCTTCTTGGAGCCACTGTAGCACCTCATCCTCATCCAGATTATGCAACACACACTGATCCAAATACGGACAATGCCCGCCCTCATAGCCCTCCACATAATGAGTGTTCAACGGGACTTCCCAAACGCCGGGGAAAGTGCGCGATGGACAGGTGCCGCTCTTGCATTCATGCGAGATCTTGAAATCGAGAGTATATGGCCACACTGGCACGGCCACTGGGGGAACGGTGATCGAACTATCGTAGATATAACCAAAGTCTTCCAGAACCTAAATAAATATATATTATATAGAATATACAAGTATAAATAATATAGATTTTAAAAGGTATTAAATATAAAGCTTAATTTACAAAGTTTACAAAGACATATCTCGGCTTAAGGTTAATGTTTTGATCTGAAACTTTGTCACAGCTTTTATTGTTTTATTATTAAACATCATATAAATTTTAAAAGAAATCTGCAATTTTTTTAAGATTTTAGAAAGAGAAATGTTTTTCTTTTAGCTTTTTTACATATTCAGTTTGTTTTTACTATAGAAAAAATTCTTTGTATAAATACCTTAAAATCTTGTGGGAGTTTAAAAAACAAAAAATCCTAAAGTTTTCAGTTTTATTAAAAAGAAATTTATTTATTTTGAATTTCTTTCAGTGTAAACTTTAATAAATTAACGCATTTTGCATAAAGTCGAGCAACAGATGGCTGAATGCCTATCGGCATTGTCCCATCGCAATGTGTGGGATATATATATACATATAGGCATATATCGTGGATATATCGTGGATATATATACACACTCACTCCCCCCGCCCCCCATACATTCTCCATTATCTTAATAAAGAGATCTGCCATAGATATGATTTTAAATGCGTGAATTGGAGATTTAGGGCTGTTTTACGTATACGTAATATGGCTGATTTTCGCATAATGTGTTTGCTGCTCTTGAACCGCTTTCCCTGTGTGACATTGATGTCATGTCATGTCATGTCAACCAGAAACTTTCAGTACCCCCCACCCCCTCTACAAGTGTGTGTGTGTGTGCGAGTGTGTGCGTGTGTGTGTTTGGGGGGAAAACTGAGGTTACGGTTAGGTTGTGCCTCATCTGCCTCATCGGCTTCCCCACCACCAAAACTCAATTTCAATTTAAAGGCCAATCTCAGCGATGTGAAATTTAAATCAGGCAAACAACAGGCACAAAATATAATATTAAATATTTTGGGTTAATATAATTACTTTTTCCGGGTATTTAATTCATTCGTAATTAAGTAGAAAAATCATTTAAAGCAATATTGGTAGTTATTTTGGGTTTTATAAGCTATAAAAAGCAAAGCATTTGGACAAAAGAATTTATGAGTAAACTGCACTATGGTTTCTTTAAGTTTAATTCTGACTTGTAGTAATTTTTTCGAATTCAATTCGGTCTTAATTAATTATAAAACTAACTTAATAGAGTCTTCATCAATTTTTAGGTATTTAGGTATTAAAAAAATATTAAAGCTTTTACAAGAAGTTATTATTTAAAAATAATACAAAGAATTGTCAAGAATTTTCCTGGATTAAATTCTCTCTTAATAAGTTGGAAAATAAATTTAACACTATAATGGTTTATATTTTGGGATTCCTAATAGAGTTTTTAATATTTGGCAGGGAAAAATAGATTTTAAAAGATTTTCCTTGATTAAAGCCTGAATTTTATTAATATTACACGTAAAAAGACTTTCTTGTTGTTAAATTTTTAATTATCAAATAAAATTTGTGCCCTTAGAAGTTGTCAATATTTGGTAGGGAAAAATAAATTTTTGAAAAATTTCCCTTGATTAAAGCCTGAATTTTATTAATATGAGAGGTGTTAAGTCTTCCTTGTTGTTTAATTATTAATTTTTAAATAAAGTAAGTCCCCTTAATTTGCAATTATTGTCTCAAAATCTTTCTTAAAACTTTTAATCTTTAATTATTGTTTTTGAATTTTAATTTTCTCAATCAAAATATTTCTTGCTAAATATTATTAGTTTCATTTAATATTTTTCTCTTACAATTTGCCGTCAAAAATCGTAAAAAATCTTTGATTTTGATATTCTTGAGTTTCCCTGCAAGCATCTGAGTTGAAAATCAGTTCGATTAAATGGAAATTGAGTTCATTTTGACATTCCGTTTGTCTCTGTTTCGATCCTGTTTCGATTCTGAAACCGAACCCGCAGACAGACAGAAAGACAGCTTTAAATGAATCACTTTTTCGATTTTCGCACTGCTTCTGATTTCAAGGAATCGTCATCGCCCTCGACAATTGCATGTCAATTGATGTTGTTCATTGTTTGCATTTTTCTTTTGCGAACTCACTGCTGCGCCTCCGCCTGCCCATTGGGGGAATCCCCCTTTGGATCCACTCACCTTGTATTGGGTGTTGCGGCCAGGCTTGAGGAACGGAGCTCGCATACCGACCACATCCCTGACGGACACATTGGCAAAGTGTCGCAGGATCTCGCGCATGCCAATCATCTCGCCAACCCACTCCTCGTAACCCTTGTCCTGGAGTCCCAACTGCTGTGAGATGCTCTCCGTTCCGATTTCGTGTCCGGCATATCCCAAATGCTGAATCTGCTGGTAGTTGCTGTAATTGAGTAAGAAAAATTGGGGAAAATTTAAACAATTGTGCAAGAGATATTTTACCAAAGCAAATTGGATAATAATTTTAGCATTTTTAGCAAGAGAAAAATAGGAAAAACATCGATATTGAAGCTACTGAATTCGATATTATCGATTAAGGGAACAAAATATAATTGGAAAAATAACGATATTGAAAGAGTTCAACTTTTATAATATATAAACAAAGTATATTTACCGTAAAAAATTATGAGATATTTAACAAAAGCAAATTGGACAATAATTATGGGATTCTTAGCAAAAGAAAAACAAGAAATAATCGATAATTAAGCTACTGAATTTGATACTATCGACTTAGGAAATATAATTGAAAAATTATAAAATTAAAATGGAATACCTAAAGGTTAAACTTAAAAAAGTATATTTACCCCAAAAAAGATTATAAAAAATTAGTTTTTTGATTAACATCGATATTTTTTGTATTATCGATATACAAACACTAAGAAAAATCAGGAAAATGAGAAAACCGAAACAGAAAATAGATTAAGTTGGGTAATTATTTGACTAAAGCTTTCTTAAAACAAATAGCCCTTAACAAATAATTACAACATTTATATAATGTTATCAATTGTTTAAAATTAATTGTTATCGATATACAAAACGATATACCAAATATTTATCAAGAAGAAATTAAACATTTAAATAATTATGCCATGCATTTCCATAAAATAGTTGACGTTCTATGTTAAACTTTATTTTCATTCAATAATACTACTTTTAATTATAAAAATTCTACAAAATTTTGCAACTACTGGTTGAAATTTTAAAATTGTTTTAAAATTTTCCTCATAAGAAAAGGATGTACCAGTTAGCTTCTGCTGGGGAAAACCTGTTAGCAAATCATTTTCACACTCAATGACTGGCTTAGCACAAAAGAAAAGCACCCAAGGTGTGTGTTGTTTTGTTTTGTTTTGCAAATTCGAAACTAACTGACGAACGAGCACGGAACTCTGACTTACTCACACATTCGGCATTTTGCCAATTAGAAGAAAATTTTCGAAAACAAAACTGCACTGGGAAATGGGAAATGGAAAATGGATGTGAATCTACCAAAAGGGGTGGTGCCAAGTTCAAGCTGTTTCATAAATAAGATTCATCAACGAATGAAAGTACTTGAAGAAAAATATCAAAACCATAGGTTTATGTTTTTTAATTATAGAATTTCAAATATTTTCCAGAAACTTTTTTGGTTTATTTAAAATATTTCAAATATATGAAATATATTTTGTAGCTTGGTTGCCAATTTGTTACCATTGTTTCAACTTTTAATTTTTGTGGGAGAGCATAAAAAATTGAAGTTTTGCAATGCCAAAAGCGAAACTACCAAAAAATATGTGTGTATTATATGAGTGTTGTGTGTGAGTGAGTGTTTTTGAAATATTTATTTCCTCAAAGGGCGCCAAAAGGGGGTTGCAGCTTGAGGGAAAACTGCTAACGAATAATGTATAGTTTTTTCGGTGCTGCCGCTTCTAGCAAAGACCAAATAGTTAAGAGAAAATATGAAGGGGGAAAAACAAAAAGGAAAAACTAAGAAAGAAAAAAAATATAAAAAACAAAAGATGAAAATAAAATTATGAATGCTTTCTGCTTGTTTTTCCATTGTCTTTTCATTCTCTCTGGCTGGCACTTTTTCGTTCTGTTAACTCGTTTCATGCAACAACCAGCAGCAAACCATAAGCAAGAATGTTGCCTGAATGTACAGATATGTATATATATATATACTATATGTTATATATATATGTATATTTATATTTATTAAACATTTGACTCGCTGTGTGCTCAGTGTGTGTAAATATTTTGCAATGAAATTACGCCCTAAAGTCAAACTTTTGCCCAAAAACTACGAGAAACGAGTAACGAAAAGTAAAAATCATAATGAATGCGAAAAGGGTAACTTCATGTTGTTGTTGTTGTTTTTTGTGCACAGAAAATAAAAAAGGTAATTAGGAAAAATATTTAAGAAATTTATTTTTAATATTTAAAGATTTAAAAAAGATATTAGTTAAAATATTTATGGATGGAATGTAGTAAATTGTGTTAGAAAAAAACATGAAAGCATTTTAGCTATTTTCCTTTATATTAAAATTATTTTATTTAAATAGAAATTTTTTAAGTGGTATTTAATAATTTAAAATAATGTTTTAAGGTTATTTAATAGGTTTGAAACAGTTCACGAGGACATTAAATGTTGGGTGCTTAATGAAAAATAGGGAAAGAGATAAACAATTTTTTTTTTAATTAATAATTTTCATATTTTTAACATTGTAAATTGTTAAAACAAAATGATCTCAAATAGATCAAATTTCAAAGTTTAAATTGATCATAACTAAGTCAAAAAAGCATTAATTGTGAATCGGAAAGCTGCTTTATGGTACTTTTTAAAAGTTTAACAAATCTGCATAAATTTAAATTTTAAAGATGTAACCCCTTAAAAAATTTGAAGAAAAGTTTGAAATTTTATTTTTCTGCCAAAGATAGCTAGAAAGATTCGTCTATTGAAGCTGATCAAGAGTATATATGATTTATAGGGTCGGAAATCACTCCTTCACTTAGTTTTTAGCTTCTGACTCAAGGTGAAATACCATTTTTTAATCGATATTAACAATATTTTTATATGAATATTTTCTGGACAAGTCAAAACGTAAAAATCTCATAACTAAGCCAAAAAGCATTAATTTCAATTCGGAAAGCACTCCTATGTTAGTTTTTAGCAGGTAAATAAATCTGCATATTCAATTTAAAACTTTAAAAAATTTACCTTTTTGTCGAATTTTTAAAATTTAAAATTTGATAAAATTAAAAAAAAATGTATCAAAATTTTGTTTCCTTAAAACATAGCTAAATCAAGTCGCCTGTTGATGCTGATCAAGAATAAATATGATTTATAGGATCGCAAATGACTTCTTCACTGACTAATTTCATAAAAACCTCTCCAAAGGTTTAAATATAACAAACGTATTTTCAAGTTTCCAATTTAAAAATTTTTAAAACTATAAACTTTTAGAAAATATTTCTTAAATAAAAAATTTTAATTTTTGTTGTTGTTTAAATTATTGAATTCTTTTTGATTTTTTCCCAATTTTAATATTTTTATTTTCCAATTTTAATATTTTTTAAACTATAAACCATTAAAAAATATTTCTTAAATTAAAAAATTAATATTTTTTTGTAGTTTAATTCCATTTGGTTTCTTTCCCTGCAATGTCAGTGACGCATTTGCAGCACCGTAGGCGTTGCAACCACGCCCATTGCATAGAGCCTGATGCATCCACACCTCCATTATGCCGCCCACGAAACCTCTCGAAAGGAGGACCGACCCCTTAACCCCTTAACACCCCCCCCCCAAACACACACCCATTTCCCCCTCCTCCTCCTCCCACCACCCCTTTTGCTGCACTTTCAAACAATAGCGCACGGGCACAAAACTATCTGACATCGTCAAAAAGTTCATGCAAAAATGTGGAAATGTGAAAAGTTGTTGAAAAGCCTGTGCCTCAGGATGTGCCACGAGAGTGTGTGTGTGGGTGTGTGCTTGGGGTGTGCTTGGGGTGTGCGAGTGTGCGAGTGTGTGTGGGGTAGATTTATTGCATGACATTTCAATTGTTAGACAAACAGCTGGACGAAGAACTAGAAGCTGAAAAAAAAGGGGACGGGAGGGGCAGACAGCAGCACTTGTAGCCAAGGCCAAATGAGGAAAACTTGCAAAAAAAAAAAAAATAGAGGGGAAAAATAAAGAAAACAGAAAGAAACAGAAAGGAAAGGAGTGAGGAAACGAAACCCAAAGAAAGCCAACAATTCAAACAAACAGTGTTGCCAACAATGTGACCCAAAACAGGGTTGTCGATGATGATGATGATGATGACGATGATGACGATGATGATGATGATGGTGGTGATGTAATGATGGTATGAGTTCGCGTCGATGGCTGTGACAGATAGTGTTCCAATTAGTTTTGTCATACTGTGGACACACATTCTCCACAAAACTGTGATGGAATCATTTTCAATTTTAGATTGTTAACGAAGGAAATGTAAATAATTAAAGCAAACTGTTTGATGTGACCAGGTCAATTTGTTAAGCAAACTGGGAGAAATCAATTAAGATTACCAAGTTTGCATTACTTTGGATATATTATTTAATTAATATGATAATAATAATTAAATACAAATTAGTTTTGTTTGTGTTTTAAGTTAGATTCTCATTTGTTAAAGCTAAAGTATGACTATATAGGTCTCTATTTAGGGTTGAAGAGTTCCGTTTTTGTTAAAATATTTCAATTAACTGAATAAAAAATGGTTAATTATAGTTGGTTATGTTGATGTTAAAAGAAAGCAGTTTTATAATATTAAAGTGTGACCAGGTCGAAGTTAATTGCATGCAGTCCTGTTTTTAGGGTCATACTATGTATATATTTCTGCCTTAATGGTCACACCACGCATTTAGTTTGAATTTAATGATAATAATTTGGGTATTGATGGGTTTTGTTTTTGCTTAAATGTTTTAATGGGCTTACCTAAAGATGGTTTTTATTTAATATATTAAATTTCATATCATATTAAATTCAGTCTCTACGAATGCTATAAAATCCATTCTTGTGACTCTGACAAACCTTGACAAAATCCAAAATTATACCCTGTGAGAGGACCAGCACTCAAAAGTGCACCTCCTGCTTCAAATGACACTGGGCTCAAATGACATAGGCATATGTGTGTGTGTGTGTGTGTTAGAGGAGTGGTTAGAGCCAAGGATTTGAAGGCCAAAACGGGAAGGAGGACAAGATGTCGAGGTGACAAATGTCAGCAGCAATTAACAGAGCCAGCGAGGCAGTGGCAAAAATAGTCAAATGACACGCTACGAAGAAAAACTGACAAAACATGGATCTCAAACAAAACAAACCAAAAAAAAAAAAAAAAAAAAATACAGAAAAAATAGAAACCAAAAAGGAAA